ACGAAAACTTGATGAGTATGGCTATCTAATTGATGGGCGTCAAGAAGGGTGAAACCGGACAGGGGCTGTTTTCAGCAACCTTATGAGTAGTGTGTTACTTCTATATCACTTATGATGATATCTCGATCATCGCATCAACTGAAACACGAGACTCACTGATGCACCACATTCAATCAGAGAGAACAATTAGAAAGAGGGACAGCTGAATTCAGTGGGGTCTCCCGTGAAAACCGGATTCGTAAGAAAATTGGTCAGGACCTGTCCACTCTGGATTCATGTGTGACAATAACGTTTCCGGTTCCAAAATCCTTCTCCGAGTCACTTTTGAAAGACACTTTCGATCATATCCTTTCATCAAAGAACTACTCTGTGCTTAATCAATTGGAAAATGCTTGGGAGCGATTGGGAAGTCGTCGTTTCAGAGGGGTTTGTTAAACAATCGGTGGATTTATTGCTGGGCAAAGTTTCGCTTTTGACACAAAAGCTTCGTCAGGCCAAGTGAGTAAGTAAGTAGGTTGATTGGGTTTTAAGGCAGTCAGGGAACCAATCCGTGAGATTCCTTATGACTAGTGACGTGATCAGTGCTGGGTGTTCAGTCTGATGTCCCTGTTTGTTGATTAGTGCGATGACTAAGCTTTACGATAGATCGGTTGGGGGGGGTTCGTCTTTATGATGAACCCGGATTTTTTCGTCCCTGCTTCTTCAGTCTAGGACACCTTAATGGAAAATTCCTCTTGGGGTCGTTCACAGATTTCGTTCACCTGTGTTCGTCCAAGGGTGCTGGGACAATTGGTTTGGGGATGGGGGTGGGATGGTCAATTGGATCTAACGCTACTTGTACTTTTGTACTTTGAGACTCAGGTGATTTCGCTGATAACTGCGCACCGCCTCGTGTCATCTCGGCTGATCTAAGACCGCTCTCCACACGTTTGCAAGTGCTCCCCCCTCTATTCCATTCACGCCGGGATGCTTGGCGATTTTCACCGCCTCGGCCACCAGCCGCTGTGGTGTGATTCTTAAACCCCATCTCAAGATGTCCACATTTTCTAAATCTATCCCATGCCCACTGTTTAGTGCATGGCGTGCCACTGCCGAATCGTTGACTATCGCCTGGTATTCCTCTGCGTTTCTCGGTGGTCTGTTAATGGAACGCCTGTGCTCATCGATTCTGGTGTGCAATTCCCTGGCTGTCTAGCCTATGTACACCTTCGTACAGTCGTTACATTTTAGTTTGTGCCCACAGTTCCTAGTCCTATCAACCGGAAGGCGATCCTTCAAATGCACCAACACCGAGCGTAAAGTTTTCCCCTTCTGGAAAGCCACTCTAATGTTAGCCGTATTCAGTACCCTTCTAATGACTTCAGATGTCCCTGTTTTGTATGGAATGACCGCTGTTCCGATCCACTCCTTGTTGGGCCTTGGTGTTGGCACCAATACCCGTCTTAGTTGCCGATTAATTAAACCCACTGGGAGTTCACTGTCTTATTTAGGAGAGTGAGAGCACTGTGTACAGAGGAGGTCGACCGAACAGCAGCACAACTTGAGGTAAAAAAGCAAAAGGTTAACGACCCCAAGAGGAATTTTCCATTAAGGTGTCCTAGACTGAAAAAGCAAGGAATAGAAGAAAATCCGGGTTCATCATGAAGACAAATCCTTCCCGCCTAACCAATCTATCGTAAATGTTACTCATCCCCACTAACCAACAAACAGACTGAACATCAGACTGAACACCCAGCACTGATCAAGTCGGCTGGTCATAAGAAATCTCACGGATTGGTTCCCTGACTGCCGTAAAACCCAATCAACCTACTTACTTACTCATTTGGCCAGACGAAGCTTTTGTGTCAAAAGCGAAACTTTGCCCAGCAATAAATCCGCCAATTGTTTAACAAACCTCTCTGAAACAAAAACTCTGTGGTTAGTTACTTCAATCGTCAATAATGCCGTAGACCTATTGCACGGTAGGCTTGCCGCATACTACTCGTTGTGACTTCCAGCCTGATTTTGATCCACACTTATCCTTTTACACGAGGACATTATCATCAACCTTTGCTTCGACACCCTCATTCTTTTGCCATCAGGAAAGCTGGGTAAGTCTTCAGTGCTTCGATTTTCATGTTTGCACTGAATGTTCTACCGTGAAGACGTCCAGAAATTACTCAGACTTCTATCTGTTCATTTGCTCTCTATAGCTCAGCTAACAGTCTCTACGTTCTAATCGTTGTCGTAAGTCCCACAAAACCAGACGATCAGGAACGACAATGAAAATGTTCAGGAAATAAGGAACATTACACTATCCGTGTCATTAGTTAGATTGTGTTAGTAGATGCGAAAGCTGATGCGAAGCTATCGATGAATCGATTTTGCGGAAAGCTGAAATTGTGAACACCGCAGCTAGTCCGCAACGAGTCAGACAACTGTTTCCGTAGGAATAAGGCCTTACGGTAAATAAGTAGTATCTTCCGCAACTCATCCCAGCCAGGTGTGGTGTGATTCATTTCACAGCGTGCACGTATGGCGTACGGGATGCATGCAGCCTAATCAAAGCGACTGAGTTTCCAGTTCGTGGCTGGCGTCCACACAGAAGCCTCATGAATAAAAGGAAGTGGTAACCTTATTCTCATATGAGTTGTGCAATACGCCAAGAACACCAGTGTTGATAGAAGAATGCTGTTGTTACAAACTCGCGATGTTTCAGCATTTTCGGTAACTTCCTGATTCCAGATATTCAAGAAAATCCACATCCCAAAATGAGTCCACCGAGATGTTTTTCAACCCTGAAGAGAGACATCAAAAACGTGTCCACAAAACTCACGCTTTCTTGGAAAATGAAAGGTATTTTGAAGGATGCGCACCCGACACTTTGGATTTTTTAACAGAAAACATCTGGTCTCAATAAGTGGATGGCAGTTTTAAATCAGGAATTCGACGAGTGGCTATCTTTCTCTGGAAGAAGGGATAGAAGAAACGGAAAGGTCACTGACTGCTTACAGTTCGTCATAAGCTGTGACCTACGAGACTGATGTAGTCTAGCCACTGGGGAATGAAGTGGGTCTGCATGGCAGTCTCCGAATGATATTGGTTTTCTATCCAAATAGACGTTAAAAATGGCCAGTTTTGTACATTTCGAAAAGACATGCTTTCAGTGACCATTAACAAAGAATAAGTTGAGCAAACAGTTTCTGAGCATCTGACCACTTAAGGAATTTCCAGACAAAAATGGCCCCCCACTGCTTAATACAAACAAACTTTTAACCTCTGAAATGTGAATAACGTGTGTTTTTGGTTTAAAAAGACTCATCGTTCTTACCGAAGCCTTAAAACTCTCCAATCCAGAGTTTCTGCTAAATGTAACGGTTTATATCGGCTGAATGTGGAAATGTTTTGCAAGTGGGTTTCAGTCAAGTTCAAGAAGGTCACTTTGAAACAAGCCATCGAATGCCTTGAGGGTCCAAGGCACCGAGCGCATTGTTGGCGCGGCTATCTATGGCAACACCATGGGTGCAAGATTTTTTGAATGGTCCTTGATCCCAATGCAAGTGAGAGGCGTCTGATCCAGAAATCTTGTTTACCTGTATATCAGAGTTGGGAAACCGAATCTTCAAATCCTTGGTCATGTATAATGAAGAATCGCATACCCACTGGAGTTGATTGTGTGCATCCGTATTCATTGTATCCATTAAGTAAGATACGAACATTCCAACTAGTGATTGCCTTCTTTCTTGCGTCGAGGGCCTCAGCCACTTGGGCGACAAAGGGCGAGCCACATCTCCGAGGCGTGAGACTCCGTTGAATTCTAGACGGACGTTGCGTTAACACCAAAGTAACCTGCTAACGAGAGGGAAATAGTTGGGGATACTGGAAGACAACAGTTGGGTATTCGAAACTTGGCGACTTGGCGATAAATGTCCACTAGTGATGCACCAACCACAGCGATTACAACACTTATCTCCAACTCGGAAAGCGAGGCTAAAGTCGTTCAGCTGTCGAATCACGAGTGCTAATCACAGAACGATGTGGAACGCATTTTTTCTGCCTCTCTAAACCAACTGCATTGGTCCCTTTGGTCATGTATAATGAAGAATCGCATACCCACTGGAGTTGATTGGGTGCATCCAAGATTGTTCTGCATTCAGGCAGAAAAAAACTTAACGATCAATGGAAGTCAACGATACAAATGTGATGAAACAAGACCCATGGGATGCTAGATGCAAACAGGGTAACGTTGGCACTTTTCAATCACCGGTCGTTGTTCAGTTGAGTCTCTCGTAAAAATCAAATTGATTTTCAAATGAGTGTATTTGTCGAGGTCAGTTCGATTTGGGTTCAAGAAGAACACAAGGTTGACGGAAACTTGGGGACTGTACATATTGGTTGAGCCACAAGAAGGGTGAAACCGGTTATGGGCCTGCAAAGAGTTTTCAGCAACCTTATGAGTAGTCTCCTTTACAAAGCATAACAATTTTACTACCCTAAATTTCATTTATCCCAGACCTAGTAAATAAAAAGCTAGAATCGTAAGTTTTTACATAATTCTCAGTATAATTCACAATCTATTTCCAACAGAAAATACACGCCAATTTGTTGTCTCAAGGAAGCCAGTAAAACTAATACTGACGTGTATATCAAGGTTGTCTCGAAGCATAATTATCGATGGATAATTTGAGAAAGATATCTGTTGTTTCTGTTATCTCCATTGTACGTTGTTTATACAGGTATGATCTTAGAGAACCTATGTAGATTTTCTCAAAATTCCGGGATTCTAGGTGGTCGGGAGCAAAAGCTGAGTTCTCTTTCAACTACATGGATAATGAACGGTGACGCACATGTGGTGTCCACGGATATCGTTGGTTTCGTGTTCCGATAGACTTTCTGGAAGGAGACCACCACGAAGAGACTGGGCCTTACCTTGGTGTGACGGTCTGCGTACCTCGGCGATCCACTGAGCTATACTGGGGGGCGTCCCCGCGACACTCACAGAGTCTTTCATACCAGGTTGGTCACTGGTTAGACGTCTGACGAACACAGTCTCCTAGTTCTCCAGGTTGGGGGTTGGAACATGTGACGACTTGTCCCGTAGAAATGGTAATGCACTCGCATTTTCCGCCAAACACCGCTGCCTTGCAGTTAGGCTTTTGAGCTAAAGGCTTTGGTTGAGGACCCTAATCGTCCTCCTGTTTAGGTATGGGCACCCTGGCAGTATCCCAGCTCTCGTACAACGTACGGCAGTGAAGCATCGGTATTGAACACTGATGATATGCTGTTGATGATGGTGATGATGATGATGATCTGGAAGGAGTCTATCCTAACGAGTTAACTGGGTTATTGACAGGTTACCTTACGATCCAACTGAGCATTTTATCGAGACATCTTACCGAATGTATCTGGATGCACTCAAGTGTCACTTCACTTATCCGATTATCTTATGTGTAGTACTGATCGTTCTAGACTGTGGATAAAAAACGATTGATCTTGAGAGTTCATATATCATGTCCTTCACCCTCGTAGCTCCTTGGTAGACAGTTGGTGGAAGTTATGCCCTCCCCCCAGAAATTGCTCACATGTCAACCGAAAATGAAAACTGTACGAATTATTTCTGGTGTTCTTTTTTACGCGATGCAATGATTACGCGAAGTAGGCTGAAATAAAGTGGTGCATACGAGTCAGCAATCCTAAAAAAAATATGGAGAATGCTCAGTGGAAATTTATTTCACGATCTCTACAGGGAAAACAAAGAAGGTAAGTCAGTCAGCCTTTTCTGAATGTTGGTTGACACGTAGTACAGTGGAACTAAATATCACTAAGCAGTTCAAAAATCAACACTTGCTTAAAAACACTGGAGATTCGTTCGAGGCTGTAGCCACCAAATAAGTCGGTCTCTTGAGCGGTAGTTAACTGACGAACAGAAACCACGGGAACAGAAATAAACAGACACAAACATAGAAGTCCCACGTGTAGATAATTTCAGATAAGCCAGTTAGGAAGACGTCGATGGAAAGCAACCTCCACCAAACGGAAACCCGGCGTTCCCTAATGTATACACACGACAGTACTGATTATTTCCATCAGTAGTGTGTGTCGTTCAAACTGCTGGTTTCTGCTGCAACATATTCGTCTAATGGTGAAAGGAGGAAAGCCTTTCGACAACGAGACACTCACGGGGAAACATCAAGCTATTGGACAGGAAAAACGTCTTTTAAGCGCACAATTTTTTTTAAATTGAACATTTTCACGCATCTTCCTGAACATCATTGGATATTCAATGGCGGTTACTTAATTGTAAACTGCAAAGCAGTTCCTCATCACCAGCTGATCGTGTTACCAAACTGGGCAGATTATGTGGTGGTTTCTTCAGTGTAAAAGTAGCATCATTACTGCTGCAGAGATAGTGAGATATCCGACTGCTGAGTAGTCAATCATATACAATGTTCTGGAAACACAACGTCGGACTAGGTAAAATTCCTCTTTTGCCTCCGAGGTGGGCACTTCGAAGACTTTACAAACAGATAGACCGTAGGCACTTCTGGTTTGACGCGGACAGCTTGACCGACGGTTCTTAGAACTACCTCCATCTGAAGTCGGACCATAGTTGCTCTTTTCCACTAATCATTGCGTGCACTATTCTCTAGTAATAATAAGGAACACAAACTGATGCCCGTTCCTAGAAGCACTTTTTTAGGTTTCTGTAAAGTACATCAATACTCAGTGATTACATAACCATACGTAGTGGTTTGCAATTTTTATTACTCTACTCTGTGTCTTATCCGCACCAAGATTTGATTTCCTTGTTTTTTTCTAGAACTTCCTCCTCCAACGTGAGTAGTTTTCAGAAATCTCATTGGTGTGCTCCAGTGTATATAAATAGTTTTTAGTGTAAAGTGAGTTAGATGACAAGCCCTTCCTCAAAGCGCTTCTTTTGAAATTCAGAACGAACAACAAATGCTTTGGCGAATCAACCAGAAAGGTCATTTACATTGTCATCATCTTGGGTCCCCAAAAAGTGGAACTTTCGTTGAATACCGTCTCAGAGAAAATTCAAATTAAGAAACGAAAGAGCTTGCTAAACCTCAAACAAAAGCAAATTAATCACCCCGGTAACAAACAAATTCCTTAATTCCCACCGTTCTTCTTGACTCCTAAGAGCATGGGGCCCGCCAAAAAGGGACTAACTGTTGGAATGCAAGCTGCTTAGAATGAGGCATACCAAATATCCTTGAACAAACCGTGAATTCTCATATCTTACGGCTGCTCAAAATCATGTACCAGGATGTTTAGTTCTTTTTATATTTCAAAGGCCGTGATCTCTACATCATTTGAAGACGCTACTCTAAAAGGTGAGGTCGAGTGTGATGCCTTTGTCGGGGGTAGACTCTGATCGATCGTAAGCCTTAATTCACCAGTCCCAATGCCAAAACAAATGCTTAGAAATCAACTTCCTTGTTCAAAAAACCTGGAGTGCATGCCTCCGGTCTGTTTTTGTAGGGCACGCCATATCAGCAGAGATTCAAATCCACGCCAAAACTCGCGATGTTGTGGCACTTCCCAGTCACACTTCATTGTTCTTGCAGTGGAATGGACGAAGCTAAACTTTTGCAAGCTAGGGACCTTCAAGATCCACGGGGCACGCATAATAGTAGTCCAAATTCGACACCGAGTGTTGATCGAGTTGTCGTTGATCTGTTCGACGATTCTGACAAGTGAGCTCTACAGAAGTCTCGGCACCGTTTGAGGAACCACCCTAACCGCTTGCTGACGCCTGTCACCACGAATTATGACCAAATCGTGTGTAAGCCGACTGTCGCGGTCGGAAAACAGATCAATAATCACCTGATTAATCACCTGACTTAACACATTCGAACAGCTGATAAGTTGAAGCATGGCGAACAAGTGGAAGTACGAATGTTAACGAGATGACTGTTCCATGTAATGCACAGTGCAGCTAGAGTGCTGGCCCATAATAACTATCTCTTAACTTGAAAACTTTCGCTAGAACCCCCAAAGCCGTCGAGGGTAAGTTCAAGAAAATCAAAGAATAAATTTTCTATGCATAAGAACTTGTTCCCCGTCTTAATCCGGAACCAAGCCTTTAGTGGACGTAGGTGGCTTGATTTTGACAGCTCGCCATCTATTTATGAGCTTTGCGCACTCGGCTGGGAGAAGACGTAGTCTGTTGAAAATTAGCTGACTGCACACAAATCAAAATAGGATAGAAAAATCGTTATTTGGCAGCCGATTTGTTCAAATTGATAAAAAGCAACCTAGAATGGTTTCATTAATATGGTCTTGGTCAGACTAGTTTTTCTGGACCGCGGAGTCTCTAATGTGGTTCCCGTGGTTGTGAACTCGTGGACTACTACTCGTGGACTCGTGTAGAACAAGAAAAAATAACAACGGTATTGAACTGTCAATGTCTGGAAAACACCCCCCCCCCCCACACTTGGATATCTTACCAGCTGAATCATCAGTTGGTCTTTGTGTAGCAACTTTAGTTGAAGAATATTATAAAAATGGGACTAACTTAGGGATTCAAATGAGCCTCCCGCCAAGTTAGGGTGCAGATGAATGTTTTTGTTGAATTTTGTGCGATCTCGGTTCAGTTAGAACCTTAGGAACCGGATGAGCCCTATGAAGGGCAAAATATGTCGAAGGGGTTGAGCAACCTTAATGTCTGTGCTTGTTTTGGAAAACGCACTTTGATATTTCCAACACTGCACAGACTGAAACATGAAGTAACCTTTTCACGACACCTTCAAACGAGAGACTCAGCCAATGTGTTTTTTGACACTGATATTGCTTGGAAACGCGTGTACTCTGCCAAGAAGAGTTTGCGTTTGTTCATCAGCAAGTTATGTTCCGGCACTCACGGCCCAAATGACCAAACAGATAAGATACCGGACTGCTATTTCGACAATATGGGTTCACTTACCACGTGGACAGCTTTGAATTGGACCCCCCTGCCTGGTTAAAATACGCAGATATACAAACATAAAAAACTCAGAATGTGACCTTAAAATATCTCCTTGTTTCGTCAAATGCATACAAAGACAATGAACATCAATAGGACAATTTTACGAAAACCAAAACTGGCTGTACAATAATTTTTAAAACCATGTGACGAAACTACTTGGAGTAATGTATTTTTCCCCTCAGATGGTGCTAAACCCAAAGGAAATGCGTATGTTTCGTCTCATTTTACGCTGTACTTGGTAGAATTAACTGTCTTTCACGGCAAAGGATGGACACTTCTAGTCACGTTACACAACTGCCTTACGTATATGTGTATGTTGTATTTTATTAAGACGTTAGGTTGTGAACTACACACAGAACTCACCTAATTTTCGGTGACCTGTTTTGGAATTTATTTACCCATGAACCTTGTTGAAAACCGTCGTACGTCGTTGCAATTGGCTGTGCTGGTGGACTGACGTTAGTTATTAGCAGATAGTCAGTGGGCCTGAAGCCTTTGGGATACACCCTTTTGAGTGTATAACATGGACAAATTTATCTCTTTAAAGGTCATTGTTTTAAGACAAGGTGACGAGGAGAACTCCTTCAAGTAGCTTCAAAGAGAAACCCAAACAAAAGCACGTTAGCAGTTCAATTACGGTGTGATTACGTCTTAAACTTACAGGAGAGACAAGGGATCCCTGAAGCTCGTTGTTTTTTAAAGTGCCTTCATATTATTATTATTATTATTATTATATTATACTAAACCCGGTTTATGTTGTATTTTTATTCAGTGGGTCATCCTCAAGTAAGTAAGTTTTTTCTGATGGTTGTGAAAACAAAATTTTCACAAACACCCGTGTTGTGTTCTGTAGCTCATCAGGTACATCAGCCCTTCTCAAGAGTAACCTATCCGAACGAAAGTCCCCGTCATGTGGGTACCGAACAACCAGTTCACATTAGTGTTCTCCAAACAGCACTACTCATTTCTTGTTAAGTAGTTCTTGGTTTCTTTTTCGCAGCCCTGCTATTTCGACAATATGAGTTCACTTACCACGTGGACAGCTTTGGATTGGACCCCCCTGCCTGGTTAAAATACGCAGATATACAAACATAAAAAACTCAGAATGTGACCTTAAAATATCTCCTTGTTTCGTCAAATGCATACAAAGACAATGAACATCAATAGGACAATTTTACGAAAACCAAAACTAAACTGGCTGTAATTTTTAAAACCATGTGACGAAGAGAGGTACTGTGGACGTGCTGTAAACTGATACAGGACCTGAAGACATAAGACTTGACCTGTTTCTACCGGCAGTTGATGATATATCTTGTTTTTCACACCAGAAGCAACGGATTACTTAAATCTTGGAAGGACTGAAGGGAATCTCAACTAAGTAGTCTTTGTTGTCAAATGTACTTTCGAAACCGATTTGAATAGAAGAGGTCAACTGTGTTTTTCATGGCAAGGGTAGGCAGAATTTGGTTTTCCAGTTTCCAAGTATATTCAAATGACTAGTATTTTGACTAAACACACAAAATCAGATGTTCTTCCCGTTGTCGTGACACACTTCTGAAGAAAGAACCAGAAATTCGAGTATACTGTTTCGGTTTTGAAGTTGCCACGTGATCGCAATCTCTAGTCCTCCCAGGGGTTCATGAGGTGCGCACTACTGATAATTTCCAATAGACAGGAGTAAAACAACTGTTGCTTCTTTTTAAATGCAGCAGCTTAATTGAAAAGTTATGCTCTGGATTGAAATTCACCAAATCTCCTCAAAAATTCGACTACATCCCTCTCCATGGTTTCCCTATTGGAAGACTGATGAAGAATAACGCATGCTAATAAGAACGAATTCTTCCTCCGTACTTTGAGCCTAGCGGATTAATTAGTATCACACTTCGACAGATGCACTCACTTGTATATCAATTTGATTTTGACGAGAGACTCACCTGGAACCCAGCTGAAAAACCAGCGTAAACGAGAGATTCAGCTGGATTCAAGGTGAGTCTCCCGTGAAGGCCAAAGTGATTTGCAAATAAGTGCATTCGCCAAGATCCGCCAGATTCGGGTTCAAGTAGTACATAAGGTAGGCGGAAAATTGAGAACTTGGCCTACCTGATGATGTAAAGAAAGCAAAAGAGGTCATGAGCTGTCGAAAAGTTTTCAGCAACCATATGAGTAGTGTATTGCGGGTTGTACCACGTTTGTTTAGAAATGGATGAGCGTACTCGTTAATGAATTACATAATCTTTAGGAATATTCCTTCCGTTAACTAGCGTAGCATTCGAAAATGTGAAACTTCGGTTTGGCTTGGTAAAATTAACAACCACAAATCGAGACCTAAAGACCGATTTAAAAACCCCAACAGCGTTCAAGAATTAGGATGAAACTGGGCGCACTCCAATCAGACTCAAAACTAGCTCAACACACAGTGGGTTCCAGCCGAAGGAGTCTTTCGGAAAAGTGGATCTTCAAGAAGATTCACTTTGCAAGCCCCTCGCCCGATTAAGCCGGTGCTATAGAGTAGAACAACTGACCGCACCTCCATACATTGTGTGTGTGTCTGACTGAAAGTGATTGAAGACATCAAAGGTTGGCTTACCAATCTACCAACAGTTTGCAAGGAGCCTTGTTGAAGCCACATGAAGAGTTAGATGCAGTGTTGAAAACAAGTTACGTACGACAGATTCGATAAAAAACTTGCAAACAGGAGGAAATCCTCGTTTCAGTATGTTTGGACGTAAATTTACGGCTAAAAGACGTGAGCAAATTTCACAAACCATGCTTAGGCAGGACAGCATTCACGTACTAGCTCAGGAAAGAATAGAGATTGAATCCGATTTTTCCGGAATGCCATAAGCCGTCAAACGAGATCCATCAACTAAGAAGATAGGTAAATCAAAGAACTGCTGAACTCAGGTTCACATGAGAAGCCAGAGTAGATCATGTGGAATCAGCAACTGGTCTAAACTCCAGGAATGAACCCATTCAATAAAGTTTTCGTCTACCAAATCAAAGGGCCCAACTAAATGGAGAATGAATTAACAAAGGAATGCATGTAAACAACCAATCGAATGCAAAAATCGCGCGTTGGCAGGAAAGAAACCGGGTTGGACGAGGTGGCGCAACCAGAAAATCTAGTCCAAAGAACCAATTGCAATAAACTACCCATAGAGAACGAACCAGACAAACCGTACTTGGCCCAATACTACCAAATTTAAGAAAAACGGACCACGAAGCAACACGAATTGTTAACAAACAAATCAATTTTGTGGAAGGATACAGCTCATAGTTAATCAATCACATCTGCAGATGTTAGACGCTCTGTAAAAAACTATAAAAAAAACGCAACCGCGCAATAATGCGGTTCCTCAGATAAGGACGAAATACTTGCAACCAGTAAAATAAATCAAAGATATTGTTATCAACAATTAATTTGAAATATCAGACACCAGAGAAGCCTTTAAAACGTCTCCTGAACAAACAGACTTGGTTTTTTGTGATTCGCATGACCATGGATTTAACTAAACAAAACCAACGAAAACACAGAACCAATAGCATAGAAGCAAAAATGTCACGAGTAAATTTTTGGCGCGAGTGATGAAAGGACACATTGAACAGGCTAGATGTACATATCATCGGTGCGCACTGATGATGTCTCCTCGTATGGTGACGAAACGTTTGTCAAGCTCGACAAACAGATCAACAGCCACCTGATCAACGATCAATAATGTACGGCTGTTCATCTCTTCTTCGAAATCATCAGTGACGCCCATCTTAGGAAGAATCAAACCAAACACCTCTCTGTTAGTAGTTGAATAGTAAGCCGTCCGTAATGAGGGATGAGTGGTTCTCTACCAAGGGTGGGTCAGGCACACATCCTCATAACCAAATAAATTAGTATTAAATTGTTATTAAATTACTAGCCGGGAGGCTGCAAGTCTCAACAAGAATAAAATAGCTTCATATTATTTCTTTGCCTTTTGGAATAGATGGGCTTTACTTACAGGAGGGAATCTCAGTCGAAAGCTTTCCAAATCTTCCCACACTACTACTCACTTCGTATTAGTAGTCATCGAAATAAATAAATACACTTGTGCTGCAGAGATAGTTTGCTCAGTAACCGGTCCAACCAAACCCATCTCTCCTGTAGTTGACGGGTTTCAGTTTTGAGTTTTGTCCTGATAAGTCTGTCCCGCTTCCCATGTTCAAGGTTACTCTGGACGTTTTGTTTAGCCTCATTCTAACCTCTAGATAGCCGTAAACCGATAAGCGAACCAAGTTTCAAACAAAGATCCACCAACCCTCTAAACATTTTTCTTCATGCAACTCTACTTTCCCAACTCGTGTTTACCTAATCCACCATTTAAAACCAGTAAAAATATGACACTGGTCCGTGCTCCATGAGTTGTTAGCTTCTAATAAAATATTTGGAACTCGAAAGCGAGTTCATTGTTGAAACTTTTAAGCGTTTGAATATCCAAGGCGACCCTTCCAATAATGGAAGTCAAAACCCTTTCAAGATGGAGGAGAACGGGGTAGCTTGTATTCAATGTAAGTAAGAGCGATGGAATTAAATCCTTCATTCGTTTCCCACTTAAACGGCCGTTTTAGAGCCATGAGGTTGAAACTTCCGATCAACATATGACCCGTACCAGACGGTTGATAATTCAGTTCTGTCGGACCTGTTGATGCAAGAATAGTTATGTGGGTTGCAAAGGATTTATCAAGGCACAACTTTGCACGTGCTCTAAGTTTTTATCCTAGAATGTACGCACCATCGACGTTGACCGGGTGGCTCGCAGTCAATGCGCAGTGGGTTTCGTCCGGACTCCTTTGAATGGTCTTTGAGCGCACCTTGCGTTCGCAGACCCATACTTTCAGTTTTTACTGATCAATGGCTAATGTGGACGATGTCGTAATCGACAGGCGGTCTTTTAGACGCATCTTTTGCGGTCCCCTGGTTTGATCGGTTTCTTTGTGCAAACCGGCTTTCTGTAACGTGCACCCTCCGTGCGAGAGCATCATGGATAACTGCATTTGGAAGTTAGTACCATGCCTGACTGCTCCATCTAGTTCTAGAGCAAGTAGTGTGTAACTGCTGATATCTGCACTTTGTCCATTAATAGTTGGAGCCTAACTGATGTGTCTACCTTAGTCCTTGTTTGATACCCATACGATTACAGATTTGCTTCACTTGGTGGAACAGTTTTCGGATCATTACGTTTTTTATGTATAGCAGGAAGGCGATTGAAAAAACACCTGCTGATGCAGAATGAATAACGTCTTGTTATTTTCAAGATCATCCGGTGTAGAATACTTGTGAGGGAGTTGGGTTTTTCCTGGAAGTTATCTGTCCAAATTTCACTTCTTTTCAAGAAAACTGAAAAGTCCAAGTAAGTTCCTAACTGTTGGTTCCACGAGAATAATTTCGAAATATCTAACAGGGAAGGTGGGAATGCAAGACATCAGAACCTTTTTGGGCAAAAAATCTTTAGGAGTTTCTCGTCTCGGCTGTGTTTATTCGTATTAATCTGGAGCAGAAATAGAACCTGTCTTAAATGACTTCTTTAAAACTCGTCTACTCATAGACTTAAACCAGACGATTCATAGTGACCTTGTTAGCTTGCTGTTGCGATCATCCCCTAATGGTTCCTTTCATCTTTGAAACCAAAGATGCGAAAAAATTCAGCTTAAGCTCACTGATCATGATCTAAAGTCTACAGACCAGTGCTGCGATGCAGTATGAAGTCTGATGCAGTTGATTACTTAGACCAGCTGTGTCTTCGGCTGCTATAAAGTGGTTTTTAGACACAAAAATGGCTTTTATACGATTAGTGTCTCACACATTTGAAAACCGATTTGGTCTTTTCGAGAGACTCACTTGGAATTCAGCTGAATCTCTCGTTTATGTTGTTCTCAGGCAACTGAATGTGCTGCACCAGGCCGCCTCATGTTTCAGTTGCTACGATATACGAGATATCGCGATACATGTATATCTTTGTGATGTACTACTCACAAGGTTGCTGAAAATCCATCGAAAGCCCACTACCGGTCTCGCCCTTCCACTTGGGGCTCATCAGGTAGGCGCAGTCTCCGGGTTTCCGTCAACCTTATGTTCTACTTGATACCAAATTGCACGAAATTAGAGAATATACACTCATTTGCAAACCAATTTGGTTTTTTCGAGAGACTCACCTGGAACCCAGCTGAATCTCTCATTTGTGATGTTCTCAGGCAATTGAATGTATATTCGCTAATTTCGTGCAATTTGCTTTCAAGTAGAACATATGGTTGACGGAAACCCGGGGACTGCGCCTACCTGATGAGCCCCAAGATAGGTGAAACCGGTCGTGGGCTGTCGACGGATTTTCAGCAACCTTATGAGTAGTACATTACAACGATATAGTGTCTCACCCATTCTGTGACAGTCAACCCCTGTGTCTATTTAGACGCTACTAATGAGGCCCAGGGCGAAATCCGTTGAGAATTCACGGCCAAAATCACGTGATCTTAGAAATTCCCACCAATCCAGTTTATCACCTGGGCACTGCCTCGGACAATTCGGGGATAAAACATTTGATTGAAAGCCAATACATCAATACCGTGAACCTGAAATGAATATTTCGTTTTTTCTAATGATCTCTCGAAAGTTCTGTTCAAAGACCAACTCGAACAAACTCATATTTACGAAGTATTTTCCTCTCCTGCAATTCGATGTACATTTCTTGTGAGGACTCTCATAACGTCACAAACAAAAGTAGCTCTGTGTCTTGAATTTTGGTCTACTTGAACCCTGCGATAGTTTCTGTGAACTACAAATGGTGAAGGAACGCTGGTAACGTACAATTTACCTCTGTCATTCTCCCAGAAACACCGGAATAGCAGAGCCCTACGATACACTACCTTTGGTTCTGCACAAGCCATACGGGCGATTAGCTCTTGCTTTCTGCTTGTTCTATGTTCTCGGAGCGGTTAGATACGTGACATTTCGACAAGGAGTTTGTTGTATCTTATGGTGGCCGTCTATAGGTTACGCCTGCACTGAGCGTGCCAGACTACGTGATAGGGAGAAGACAGAGAACTGGGGACACGGCTGTATTGTCAGGAC